AACCCACGATGTGTAAATTCTATCATAATTCGCTCGCTAAGTAAATCATAATGTAAATATGGTGCCAGATGTCCAATAGAGTAATTAATAATATCCATAAATTTATATAAATATAACAATAATATCTAATAATACCGTATCAAAGTGTGCCATTTACTTAAATTCTGTAGGTAAATTAAAAAGTTAAAAACTTCCCCCGGGCCTACCAACATAATAACACCGATTCTCCCTCCAATACTGCCAAACAAAAGCCGAACTTTTTTTCAAACGACGGCATGACTCGGCCACGCCACGCCACGGTACCTATGTTATTTCAGCTTGCCTCCAATTTACCACCGGCCAGTCACAGCATTCGAAATTTGAAAATACAAAATCGCATATTGTGTCTATGCGTTACACAGGTAACATAATAATCTTGTTTTTCAGTGAACCAATTATAGTAATTATTTACTAGCAACCGCAACTTCGTGTTTTCGTCCGCGTACAATATGAAGTTTAGAACATAACTTTTATGTTATTCTTTAGTATATCAGCTACCCGCCATAAAGGCTTGCAAAATCGGTCCAGCCATTCCAGTGCTTAGTCGCAGTACAAACAGATAGACAAAAATTGTAAAAAATGTTACTATGGTATGTGTATCGTAGGTGTATACATGAAAGGTATAATATGAATATTATACATATGCATGTAGTAAAAAACTGTTATAATACAAACACTCCAGTTTATTTGTATAGATTTAAAACAAACCTACCCCCGTACCTAAATAATTTTGAAAAAGATAAAGGTAAAGTAAAAAAGATAAAGTAATTATTTCGTGACAATTGTATTCACCGCTGAATTGGGACTTGTGACTATCGGTCTTCTCTACTTCTAGATAAAATTATACGCCATAAAAAAATTTCAAAAAAAAGTCGCTTGGTAACGTTGAAGATTGCATGAAAATACTAAGGCACTATTTCGACTCTATGATCGTCAACGTCCATACCATGTTGAACACACCGGTTCTCGTCCGATCACCGAAGTTAAGGAACATCGGGCGCAGTCAGTACTTGGATGGGTGACCGCCTGGGAACACTGCGTGACGTTGACTTTTTTGCTCATCTGTTTTAATTTGATCTGTTAAATTACTAACCTTTTATGGGTATAACCTATATTTTTGCCCGTAAACCAACACCTACATCAAATATTTATCAATGTTTTAAATCTGCGACTTTCTATACGACCATAATGACCCTTGTCAAGCGTCTTTTTAAGAGATTAAATCGGTATATTAGTGATAACATTCTTATTATACACACACGACAACGGTATAATTACATTTGTAGGTAATATTTTATAATATTTATATTTACATTTATAATAATAAGTATTTATAGATACCTTAATTTGTATACAATTACCTCAAAAAAGAACATAAATCATTCAAATTGAACGTAAAAATAAAAAAGGGACGACACACGGGTCGACAAAAACGATAAGTACCTATAAGATATTTAGATAAATAAAAATTATTAAAAACTGTAAGAACAGAGGGCGTTCGGTTTCGTTCTAGTTCGAAATTCTTTTTCGTAGTAATCGAAACAAGACGGCGTTCGGTGCTCTAATTGGTTTGTTCATTAGGAGCTGGCCAATCACAGCGCCGAACGCGTACTCGTTCGTTATACTACTTTAAACCTAAAACAAACTTGTACTAACGCCTCAGAAAGTTCCTTCCGAAAGAAGTTTAGTAAGTAACATAACATAACATCACGCCTATTATCCCCGAATGGGTAGGCAGAGGTGCACACAGAAGTAACACCCACTTTTCACTATTTATGTTATGAGTCCCACGTAATAGGAGGTGAGCGTATTGCCATATACCGGGCACAATTCCAGACTCCGTGCTACTACTGAGATTTTTTTTTAAACCCTGTAATACTTTGCCTGACCCGGGAATCGAACCCGAGACCCCTTGCCCGGCAGTCGTAATTGCGACCACTCGGCCAACGAGGCAGGCAGTAGTAAGTAAGTAAGGTAGTTTTATACCACAAAAAACAACAAGAAAAAACTACTAAAGAATTAGAAATAAAATCATTTATTCTCACTTAACACAAATTATAAACATAATTACAGTCAACAATAATGCTACATTGCTGCGCTCACGATTATATAAAACATTATATTCAGTCATGTAACCTTCGATCAACAATAGCAACTAGATAAAGGGTTACGTACAAAATCAAGCTCCAGTTCTGTCCGTGTGAATAATAATAGTAAAACGATAACAAACAGAGAAAAATGTTTTAAAATAGTTTTAAGTTCAACCTAATAACAACCATGGCTCCTAATAGTAAAGTCATAAATCGTCAAAATATTATCTAATACTTACGACCATTCGTCATATAAGACGA